GCTCGGGTCGGCCGAAGCGGGCCCGAGCGGGCCCCGAGCCCTAGGCGCGCGGAGGGCCCCGCCAGTCAGCGCCCGGCGGGTGCATGCTGGGGCACCAAAGCGAGCTGGCCAATCACAGCGCAGCGGCGCGCCCGGCAGTTGTCGCCTCTCTCCTTATAGTCTCTCTACTCTCTCCCCTCCCTGCCCGCTCTCCTTTACGAGTGCGGAGCTGCTCCAGTTCTCCTCTCTCTCGGTCTCTGTCGCACTCAGGGCCGGCACGGCGGCGCACAGCTTGACGAATAGGCCCAGCGGGACGGACCCTACACTCACACACTCTCTCTCTCACACACACACGCGCTAACACAAACACACACACACACAGAGTCTAGTCCGGCGCAGACTCCGACCGCACGTCTCATTGGGAACGTTAACAAAACGCCTGGCCGCCGCAAGCGCCCTACTCCATCTCCGCCAACGACTTGACGCCCAACTCGAGCGTACCGCCAACAGCCTGCCAGGCCATCACAGAGAGCAATACTACAAGCCATTAACATTTTCAGCTATTTCTTGCACTTAACACCGCAGAATCAATCGAAAACTTCAGATAGATGCTTCTGCCCTCATTTCCTATTCCTATTATAAAACCCCGTCTCTTTTATTTCACCAGATTCTGCGGCCCGTGCTGCACAAGGCGTTGCAGAGCTCCTCCTACAGGCGCTTTTTCTTGTGCTTACTTGAGCAGCACGGGTAGAGAGGCCGGCGCCCCGCCCCGCCCGCCCCAACCCACCCGCCTGGATGGATAGGATTTACGGCCTGCACGTCGGGTCGGCCGGGCGGGCGCCCAGAGCTGCTTCTCCTCCGACCAACGGCCTCCCGACCAGGTCTTTTTCTTTCCTTCGACCAGGGTTTCCGCCGAGAGGTCCCTCACTAGTGTTCATCAATGTACAAATGGAACTTTTTTCCTCATTTTCCCTCATTTTTAATCAATTTGTCATTTATCATCTTTACTCAATGAGCACGAAAATCAAAGTGGGGGACCCCTCGGTTTCCGCTGTCCTCCGATCACTAGAGTATACCTTCCTCCGTGCATCTCGACGAGAGCCTCGCCTCCTTCTCTCTTCAAGAATATCAGAGAATAACCTCTACGCAAAGCGCGAGTTTGTCCTTTCGCTCGCTGCCGAGCTGTTGTGCCCGACGCTACAGCTACCCCCAAGAACGTGTACCTGCCGAGAAGTCAGCCAAGAAACAACAATTAATCATTTTGTAGGCGCCGGGCGCGTGGAGCGGGCCACGGTCCTCGGCGCGCCCGCGCGCACCTTGTTCGAGAAGTTGTTGTCAGGTGCGGAGTGAGTGGACGGCGATGCTTCGCGAAAAGTTTAGCAAGGCGCGCGGCGAGTTACCTGCCTTGTACGGCCGGGGAGACAGGTGG